CAGGGGCCTCGATGGACCAGACCCGGGTGGCAGAGGCTAGCTCTGGGGATGTGGAATGTCACCTCTCTGTGGGGGAAGGAGCCGGGAACTTGTGCGGGAATTGGAGCGCTACCAATTAGATCTGGTGGGGCTGACCTCCACGCACAGTCTCGGTTCTGGAACCGTACTCCCTAATAGGGGATGGACACAATTCTTCTCTGGAGTTGCTCAAGGTGTGAGGCGCCAGGCGGGTGTGGGGATACTCACAAGTCCCCGGCTGAGCACCGCTACGTTGGCATTTACTCCGGTGAACGAGAGGGTCGCCTCCCTATGCCTTCGGGTAGTGGGGGAGGCAACTCTGACTGTTGTTTGTGCATATGCACCAAACAGCAGTGTAGAGTATTCAGCCTTCTTGGAGACCCTGAATGGAGTTCTGTATGGGGCTCCAGTAGGGAGACTTCAACGCGCATGTGGGCAATGATGGAGAAACCTGGAAAGGCGTGATTGGTGAAGCTGAAGCTGCAGCGGAAAGCTGTGGTCTCAAGGTCTTAGGTACCTCAAGGGGTGGTAACCCTCGAACACCGTGGTGGACACCGGTGATCAGGGAAGCTGTCCGACTGAGGAAGGAGGCCTTCCGGGATTTTTGTCTCGGAGGACCTCGGAGGCGGCAGCAAGGAACCGACAGGCCCGAAGGGCTGCAGCCTCTGCTGTGGCAGATGCAAAGCAGCGGGTGTGGGAGAAGTTTGGAGAAGACATGGAGAAGGACTTTCGGTCGGCACCAAAGTGTTTCTGGAGAACTGTCTGCCATCTCAGGAGGGGTAAGCGGGGAACCGTCCAAGTTGTGTACAGGAAGGATGGGACCCTGTTGACCTCAAGTAGGGAGGTAATTGGGCGGTGGAAGGAACACTTGAGGAACTAAATCCGACTGACATGCCCTCTCTAGTAGAGGCAGAGCTGGAGGCTGATGGGGGTTTCTCATCAATTTCCCTGGAGGAAGTCACTGAACAACTCCACAGTGGCAAAGCCCCAGGAATGCTAAAAGCTTTGGGTGTGGAGGGGCTGTCTTGGATGACACGTCTCTTTAACATTGCGTGGAAGTCTGGTACAGTGCCCAAGGCAGACTGGGGTGGTGGTTCCCCTATTCAAAAAGGGGGACCAGAGAGTGTGTGCCAATTACAGGGGTAGGAGGGTTCGGCCGATTGTTGAACCTCAGATCGAAGAGGAATAATGCGGTTTTTGTCCCGGTCGTGGAACAACTGACCAGCTCTTTACTCTCACAAGGATCCTGCAGTAGGTTTGGGAGTATGCCCATCCAGTGTACATGTGCTTAGTAGATCTGGAGAAGGCGTATGACCGGGTCCCCCAGGCGATACTGTGGGAGGTGCTGTGGGAGTATGGGGTGAGGGGGGCCCTCATAGGGCTATCCAATCCCTGTACATCCAAAGCGAGAGCTGTGTCCAAATACTCGGCAGTAAGTCAGACTCTTTCCAGGTGAGGGTTGGCCTTCGCCAGGGCTGCGCTTTGTCACCAATCCTGTTTGTGATATTCATGGACAGGATATCGAGGTGTAGTCGTGGCGAGGAGGGGCTGCGGTCCGGTGGGCTTGGGAACTCGTCACTGCTTTTTGCGGATGATGTGGTCCTGATGGCATCATCGGTCCGTGACCTTCAGCTCGCACTGGATCGGGAGGTGTTCCAGGCACGTCCAGCTGGGAGGACGAGGGTGGAGAGATTATATCTCCACACTGGCCTGGGAACGCCTCGGTATCCCCCAGTCAGAGCTGGTTAATGTGGCTCGGGAAAGAGAAGTTTGGGGTCCCCTGCTGGAGCTGCTTCCCCCGCTGGTCACAGATAAGCGGATGAAGATGGATAGATGGATGGATGATCTCTAAAATCACGGAAGCTGCGGGGCTTGCTGTATGAATGCTGCTGTGTTAAGAATAACTTCATTTCAGCTTCAACTGCAGTGCAAGAAGTCGATGAAGGACGATGAAATCTAAAAATATTTATAAGTGGTGTGTATTAAGATCCTACTTCTCATCATTAACACTGAGTACAGATGTGGTGGGTAACCTCGAGTTAACCATGAACAAAAGTTTAGAGTAAATTGCCATGGCAACAGACCTCGGGTAACACCTATCCACCTTTCGTAGTACGGGTTAATTGGGACGTTACACCTGAAGTTACCTGGATGAGCCAGTTACCTCACTTGGGAGTGAGTGTGTTATGGATTTATTTATGCCTTTAGATGAATGAGAAGTTCTTGGTGTGTTTCAGTTTTGTGTGTCTATCTGCGTTGTTCTCTTTGTCCCTCTTCAGTGGAGATTGTGGCGTTTTCCCACACCTGCCAGCAATCACCACTCACACACCTGTTCATCATCACACCAATCAGCCTCCCATTATGAAGGACAGACCAGACATCCAGTCCCTGCTGGATTGTTGTCATTCCTAGTAGGAGCACGTCCCAGCCAACTTGTCTGTTCAGAACCTGAAACGTTAAATATTTTGTCTGCCTGCCGAACTAACTGGATTTTCCCTGTCTTCAGGGAGTCACTACGGGATATGAAGCCCTATAGACCGGATCAGTCAGTCAGTTCAGCCAGCCACAGAACTCACCAGACCACTTTCCTGAGACACCCGTCCCACCCTCTTGCCAGCCAAATCCTGCCAGCTTACATTTGGATTCTGGAATCGAGCCAAATCTCAGTCCCATTCTCCTGCTAACCACTCTGCCTCATTACTTTCTGTGTTATTAATAAATAACCTTATCTTTACCAGCTCTGTCTCTGTCTGCTTTTGGGTTCA